GTCCACCCAGCCCGCACGCACCATGGTGCACGGTCACCCTCCGTCCACCCAGCCCGCACGCACCATGGTGACCTTCCCATCCAGCCATCACGTCCACCACAGTGACCATTCCACCTGGCCCTCACATCCACCCCAGGATCCTTTTGTCCAGCCCTCATGTCCTCTACTGATCCTCCCACTCAGCCCTCATTTCACACTGGCCTTCCCACCAGCCCTCATGTCCACCATGGTGGCCCTCCCACCCAGCCCTCACATCCAATATACTAACCCTCCCACAGCCCGTGGTCAGCACTGCTCCATCACCCCACACCACAGGATGCCCACGCTGGGTAGTGCACCCACTGCCCATCTACCCTGGCCCTGACCACACCCCTGCGTCCAGGCGTGGACACTCAGCACTGGCAGAGGCCGCGTCTGTCCGCAGAGGAGGACACCTCACTCTGTGTGGCCCAGATGCTCAGAGGGCACTGCTCCGTCAGGAGGAGACCAGAGCTCTGGGACAGTGTGGACCCACCCTGATCACACGGTGACGAGCAAAGGGCCCACGGCCACTGGGTGACCTGGGCCTGCCAGCAGCCCCTCAGGACAGGGCAGAGCTGCCCCGAGGCTTCCAGGCATCTTTATGGAAGGCGACCACTTCTTCTCCCGCGGAGTGGCTGAGAGGTTAGCAGCCAGGTGCTTTAGTCCCTGCACCAACCGGGCACCTCTACATGATGGAGAAATCAAACCCACACAGGGTGTCACCGAGCCACTTCAGACCTCAGCAGCCCTGGGGCACACAATGCTGCCCACAGCCGTTCCCAGACCACAGGCACCGGAGACGCTGCCTCGTCCCTCCCCTTGGAGCAGCACACGGGTTTGAACCTCTGAGCTTTCTGTAAGAAGCCCAACGCTCAACCTACGGTGTCCCCAGGGCTGCAGCAAGCCAGAAAAGAGACACTGTGTCATTCCACGGACACACATGCTGGAGGAAGCCAGGGCAGACATGATGAGGGCTGAGCAGTTGACAGGCTGTGGAACATTCTAGCATCGGCCATGGTGGTGGCATTGCCATAGATACACTGAAAGCCCCTGAGCTGTCACTCTTGATATGACTGTGTTATCTAAATGCACCTCAACAAGTTGTGGGTTTAAAAAAAAAATGCGGAGACATTGACAGGGGCCCATACCACCACCCACAGGCCAAGAACCCCAACTTCTCTGCACACAGGGGTCACCAAGTGTCTGTGGCTCCTGTGTGCCCAGAATCTTGGACAGGAAGGCCCTTAGCTCTTGGTGAGGTCTGAGTCATGGGTGAGCAGGGCCTGGTCTGTGGTTGGAAGGGGCTGGGTCAGGAGGGACCTGGACAGGAATGGGCAAGTTCTGGGATGGGAGATGCCTGGGCTGGAGTGGGAGGGAACTGGGCTGGAGTGGGAGGGCCTTGGCCCAAAGTGGGTGAGGCTACTATCAGAGGAGGGGTGTGGTCAGCTCCCACTCCAGGCTCTGAATCACACCCCCTCGACCACTGGGACAAGGAGCAGCCCTCAGTGTCCCCTCCCCGAAGGCAATGTCCTGCCCTGAGTCCACAGTTGTCCCAAAGCTTGTGTCCCTGGCAGGGCACTGGCCCCTCTCTGCCTGGGGGTGGGCAGTTCTTGATGGGTCTCTCGTGGCCCCAGGGTCTCCCCACTGCCCACCATGGGACAGTGGAAAGCTACAGAGTGGTCTTGAGACACAGCCAGGGGGCCATCCTTATGCCCATGGTCCCCTTCACCCCTCCACCCTTCTGCCATTCTCCGGGGCTGTGGAATCCAGTGTGCTCTGGCTTCGACACACCCCGCCCTGTGACCCTCGCTGTAGGAATGGGGTCACCAGGCCTTACACAAAGGAGAAGCCCTGTCTGCACCCGACACTGTGACTGCTGTTCTATGTGCCCCAAGTCTATGACCTGCACAGGTCAGACCCGTCCTCAGTCGCACCCACTCCAGGGGACAGAGTCCATCAGCAGCTCCCACAGGCCCTGCCCTGTTCAGGTGGAAGGGGGGCTGGTTCCACACAAAACTGGCCTTCAGAGGTGCTGAGGTCCCGTGGACACCATCCACTGGGCAGTCAGCCACGCCCAGCACTAATCCTCGCTGGTCTGTTTAGATTTGTGGTGACAAAGCTGGGGATTAAGGTGGTCACTGAGCCAAGAGGAAGCGGGGCAGGTGCCAGCCAGGCCGGGAGGTGCTAGGACCATCCCCCCCTCCCCCCCGCAGCAGCCCTGCCAGGGCTCCAGCCTCAGCCATTTCTCACAGAGTTCTGGACGTCAGTCCACATGGGGAGACCTTGGAGCATCCTTGGGGAAGGTGGGAAATGGTCGCTGTCCCAACCCTGCCCTCGTGAGGCCCGCACAGGCCTTCTCATTCCAAAACAAAGTGCCCTGGCACAGACTCAAGTGTCCCCAAAACATGTGTCAGCTCGGAGAGCCGTGGTTCTCGGGACAGCGGTCACCCTGTGCACTGCAGTCCTCGCCTCCCCGATGAGAATCACCCCTCATGACGGACTTGAGTGTGACCACTGGTCAGTTACAAGGGAACTGGGTGGGTGCAGCCCCAAATTGTGTCACCGCCCTGACAGGACGTAAAGCGAGGCTCCGGATGTAGCACCTTTGCTTCACAGGAGAGAAAAGGGGAGGAAGGGGAGTGGGGAGGGACCCCAGAGCCGGGCATGACCTCCGGGCGTAGACCAGGGACCGCGGAGGCCCCTCAGAGACAGGCAGGACCTTCAGATGTGGACCGGAGAGGCCAGGACGACACTCAGCTCTGAGGACACAATGGGCCTGCAGGTGCCGAGAGGGTGCAGGACGTCCTCCAGAATCGATGCAGAGAGGACCTCCCCAGAGCTGGTCCCCTGAAACCCAGCTTCCAGGCTCCCACACGCTGAGAGGGCCTGTCTGTTGATTAAACCCACCCCCTCATGGCATCTGATGAGGCAGCACCAGATGGAGGGCTGCAGGGCCGGGGAGGCATGCGTGCACCGCTCCAGCCTCCGCACCAGCCCAGCCGCCCTGTTAGCCTCCAGTCAGAGCCCCCACGGGATTAGCCAGGAGGGGACACAGGCTGTGCTGACAGGCTGTGGTCTCCCCACCCTCCCAGGTGGAGGTCCTGAGGCTGGGCACGTCCACAGTCCTGCAGGTGCTCAGTCCACGCTGCCCGGGGCCCTGCCCTGCCGGCCGCCTCCAGAGCCCATGCATGTGCGTGTGTGTCATGGCAGCAGCGCACAGCTCGTCAGTGTGGATGGATGTGCCAGTTCCAGAAAGATCCACAGCCCACACTCACTCGCATCTCCTCAGTCCAGCCCTGGATGGGCCCTGAGCCACAGGGGAGGAGGGGCATTGGGGTGCCGGAGTCTCTGAGAGGCTGGCCACTTGCTCCCAGCCTCGGAAAGCAGCCAGGCCCAGGCACCCAGGAGCGGGGGAACCAAGGTCCAGGCAGGAAGGGTGGGGAAGAGGCAGGCACCACCTCTACCTTCCTGGGAGCCAGCAGGGGCAGGCCCAGGGTGGCCCAGGGACAATGCCTGCTTGTTCCCAGGGGCATCTCAGCCTCAGCCGTGCCTGCTGCCCTGGAGGACACAGGGCTTATCGGACATCATTCCCGCCTGTGACCACCAGGTGCCCAGGGCACGAGAAGGTGCAGGAGCGGTGCCAGGGCTCCGGTGGACCGTCCAGCAGCTCTGCCAGCCTTGCCTGGGCCCTTGGGGACGTGCTGATCCCAGCCTGCAGGGCCCCTGGAAAGCACCACACGGTACTGTCCCGTCCACAGAAGCCCCTCAGTCAGTCATGGAGAGGTCCCCTTCAGACAGAGCCAGGCAGCTCAGCTTCACCACAGTGGACACGTGGCGTGGCCCCCCGAGGGCACCTTGATCCCACCGAAATAGGTCACACGACTAAGGAGGCCCAAGGCTGTGGATGGAACCCCCACACCTCAGAGCAAGTCCAAGTGTTTCAGAGCCCCGAGTCCTAGGGTGTGGGGGTCTGTGAGTGCTCAGTGTTACAGGTGAAAAGGACAGGTTCTAACGAGCCCGGGGTCAGTGGTGTTGGACGAGGACTGTGGCGGCAGCCGAGGAATGCTGATGACCCCTAACGGGACAGTGGTCAGGGGTTGGCCAGAGGGGCGGGCTTGCGGCTGAGGTTGAGATGGGACATCAGGACACGAACTCCTGACATCCTGCGGTCCCCGCGGTCCACGGGAAGAAGGAGCCAAGAGCCGGGGAGAAGACAGGCCAGTGGCTGTGCTGTCCCCCGTTCACACGGCCACATGCACAGACCCACCACAGAGCTGCGGTGGGCAAACATCGACACCTGAGAGGCTGCACCCGCCCAAGGCAGTGGCCTCACCTGCCCATGTGGAAAATCAGTCCACGGATGGACAGGTGCCCAGCCACACCACACGGCCACACAGCCACATGGTACCACTGTCCACCAAGCTGCCCCATCTGTCCCTGGGCCTCACTCATGTCCATGCACAGGTCCTCGTCCGCACCACGCATGGGGGACACCAGGTCACACAGCACTACCATCCATGGCAGACATCAAGGGACTACCCTTGACCACCAAGCTTTACGCCATCTGTCCCTGCACCTCCCCTGTCCCCATGACAGAGCGTCTGCACCAGGTAGAGGGCATCATGAATGAGGGGCCACTTGTCCCGTGTCCCAGCCCTGACAAGCCGAGAACCTCTACTTGTCCCCAGAAGCACCAGGAGTGGGCCCTGCAAGGCACTGAGGGGACACCGAGGCCCCATGGCCCGTGAGTG